TTTTGAGATGGAGTCTAACTGTTTTCTGGGTTGGAGTGCAACTGCACGATCCCGGCTCACTGCAACCTCTGCCTCCCAAGCTCCAGCAATTCTCTTGCCTCAGCCTCCCAAGCAGCTGAGATTACAGGCGCCCACAACCACGCCTCACTCATTTTTTTTTTTTTTTTTTTTTGTATTTTTAGTAGTGACAGGGTTTCACCACGTTGGCCAGGCTGGTCTTGAACTCCTGACCTCAGGTGATCCACCAGCCTCCCAAAGTGTTGGGATGACAGGCGTTAGCCACCGCACTCGGTCCATATTTAAATAGTATTATATTTAAAATAGTACAGGTTGAGCATCCCTTATCCGAAATGCTTAGGACCAAAAGTGTTTTTGGATTTCAGATTTTGTCAAATTTGGGAATATTTGTATCACACTGGTCAAGCATCCTTAATCCAAAAATCTGAAATCCAAAATGCTCCAGTGAACATTTCCTTCCAACATCATGTCAGTATTCAAAAAGATTCACATTATGGGACATTTCAGACTTCAGATTTTCTAATTAGGGATGCTCAACCTGTATCTTCAATTTCAATATGTTAGATTAGGACACCATTTATATCTTGCACAAAACTCCATAAATTAAACATGTAGTCCTAGCATGGATAACATAGCAAGACCCCATCTCTCAAAAAAAAAAAAGAAAAAAATTAGCCTAGCATGGTGGTAGTCCTAGCCACTTGGGAGGTTGAGGCAGGAAGACTGCTTGAGTCCAGGAGTTTAAGGCTGTAATGAGCGATGATCGCACCACTGCACTTTAGCCTGGGCAACAGAGTGAGATCCTCTCTAATTAATAAATAAATACATGAACTAAACATGTAGCATTATTTGTCCTTAAAGCTCAAATAATGTCCAGAGCAAGTTCATATACCACACAATTTATTTATTTATTTTTACAAATGTTCATATTAGCTTTATTCATAATAGCCAAAAATTGAAAATGACTCAGTGGGTGAATGATTAAATAAACTGTGGTACATCTACACCATGTAATAGTACTCTGCAATGAAAAGAAACAAATTGTTGATACATGCAACAACTTGGATGTTAAAGCCAATCCAAAAAGGTCACATATAAAATTTCATACATTTAACATTTTTTAAATGACAAATTAAAGGAATGAAGAACAGATGAATGGCTGACAGAGATTAGGGAAAGGGAAGAGGGTGGGAGGGACATAAATGTGACTATAAAAAGGCAACACAAGAATTCCTTATGGTGATGGAACTGTATCTTCACTGTGGTGAATACAGGACTCTACATTAGACACCACACAATGTAAATAGCAGCTACTCTAAAGCATCCTAGCTTTACATGCACATTGAATTACCTACTTCAAAGGGAATTTTAATCAGTACTACTTACACAGAATGTTTCCTTCAAATTTGTTACTTGGTGCAATAATTGCTAACACTTATTGAGCATTCATCACGTTTCAGGTACTCTTCTAAGCCCTTTATATTTTCTCATTTAATCTTCAAACAACCCCATGAAGTAGATCATGCTCCCAGCTGACAAACAGGAAATCAGACAAGTTAAGGAACTTACCAAAGTCAGCCAGTTAGAGTGGAAGAGTTAGGATTTGAATCCAGACAGTCTAACTCTGCAATGAGTCCACTTAGCTACTTCTTTCACGCTGCCTTTTAAACAGGGATCAATTATGAGGCAATATAAGCCCTGCTGAATTTGACTCCTTAAAAGAGAAATGCTATGAATTCCAAAAAGATTTTAAAGTCTAGGTGACTTTAAAAAGTCTAGCAATAAATGAGATGAGAAAAACACTATCAGCACTAAGAGGGATGGTTTTGAAAAAATATGTCCGTTGAGTATTTAATGTTAAAGTAAAATAAAATAGCCCAATCCATGAATTAAAGATTAGCAAATGAGTTATATTTACTTTACCTTCTCATCTCACACTCAAGAATGTGTAATTTTGCCCAGCACAATAATCAAGATGTTATAAATATACCTTGAATCAATATATTACTGTCCCAATACTCTTCCTTCCAATCAGAAGCAAAAAGGTCCTCTTACTTGTATCTCCCCTGGACACCATCTCCTTTGTGTACTTCAATTTTTTTTTTTTTTTTGAGACAGGGTCTCACTCTGTTGTCCAGGCTGGAGTGCAGTGGCCCGATACCACTGCAGCCTCAACCTCCTGGGCTCAAGCGATCCTCCTACCTCAGCCTCTTGAGTAGCTGGGACTACAGGCATGCACTGCCACACCAGGCTGTACTTCACTTCTCTATTATCTTTAATCACTCCTATACAGGATCCTTTTCTTTCATTGCCAAGCATATTCTAGTATTTCTAACATTAAAAATTTGTGTTTAAATCCAATTCCTCTCATTCCTTCTGAGACCAATCTCCTGGAAACGTGGTCTACACCTATTGCCTCCAGTTACTAATAAATATTTTACTAGAAATCTTCAGCAATCTCTTTGTTCCATCTATCACTATAAAGAAACTGCACTTTTGAAGATCATTATTTTTGCCAAAACCATGGCCAAATACTTTGTTCATTAAGTTTGTTCATCCTTCCTCCTCTAAACTTTCTGGGACCTTGTTTCCTGACACTCCATTTTTTAGGGGCTTTTCTCCTCCTTACTTTTTATAGTTCCAATTTCTTTACTGATTCTTTTTTCCCCTCATGTTCCAATAATAGGTGGCCCCAGACTCTGAAAATCATTCATTCTACATAGGAAAATAATCATTCTCTATGACTCCTAAATCTCTACCTTCAGACCATTACAGCTGCAACCCAGTCCTGCATTTCCAACTTCCTATAAGATGTTAAACTTTCATGTTGTCAGACTCATTAAGTTCAAAACTAATCATCACTTCACATCTCATTCAATCTTTCTTTGCCAACTACTGTACTGTTTTGCTCAGTAATAATTCCATTCTTCCGTTTTCTTTCCCCACTAAAAAAATACTTTCATCATCTTTTACTCTTCCTTCAACGTCACCTTTACATCTAAAAAGTTAACTTTGTTACTTTGTTAACTTTATCATCAAATTCTGACATATTTCTTTTTTTTTTTTTTAAGACAGAGTCTCACTCTGTCTCCCAGGCTGCAGTGCAGTGGTGCGATCTTGGCTCACTGCAACCTCCAACTCCCAGGTTCAAGTGATTCTCCTGCCTCAGCCTCCAAGTAGCTGGGACTACAGGCGTGCACCACCATGCCTGGCTAATTTTTGTATTTTTTGGTAGAGATGGGGTTTCACCATGTTAGCCAGGCTGGTCTTGAACTCCTGACCTCAGATGATCTGCCTGCCTTGGCCTCCCAAAGCGCTGGGAATACAGGGATAAGCCACCACACCTGGCCTCTGACATATTTCTTAAAAAGATATACACTTGTCCTCTTAGATGTGGGCTTCACTCTCATTCTCAATTATAGCTACTTATCTTGTTCCCAATCTTAGCCCCTTTCCCTAATCCATCACGTCTTTCATTGTCACCACTTTTATCATTACCTTGCTTGAGATCCCATAACAGTTCCCATACAGCTATATGAAGTCGAATCAGAATTCCTGTCTGGTTTTCAAGGCACTACTGTATTTGATCTTATTATCTGATCCTATCCAGGTTCATTTTCTACTACTTCAGTTCTTACCCTAAGTAGCCTTTCCAAAATCCAACATTCTGCATACACTTCCTCTAAGGTTTTGTATACAACATTGGGGGATGAGGGGAGGTGGGAGTGAAGAAAGTTCCAGTAGACAATTCTTTAAAAGGTTAAATCACAGCTGTATAGCCACACATGCACCCCCTAGTCTAGACAGATGATCTCTCTACTATTCTCCCTGCCTTTTTATTCACCTTATCGACAATTAAAAATACTTCTCTACTCCCGTTTGTCTGAGCAAATCTTATCCATTTTCCATGTACCATCTCCTCAGAAGTTTTCCAGAGCTTGGCAGAGCTAGTTCTCTTGACAATTCCGCTTGCAGTTGTAGTTTACAGCACACAAGTAAAGCTTTGTTGTTTCTCTTGTGGTTAGTCCGTGAAGGGGCTCTGACTTGATCACTTTTCTACATTGCCACCAATACCTAAATCCAACCGCCCTAACGCCAATACTTAGTCGGGTATTATGCACGTAGTGCTTAAACACACCTCAACACACAAGTATTGTGAAGATAATGACCACACAGCAGGGCAAATACAAAGTTAAAGCAGATCCGGAACCAATACAAAGCATTTTTACCAATAAAATGCCGTGATGACGCTGTCACCCATTTCGGATTCATCAATCATTCTTCAAAAGTCCGGCTCCAAAACTATGTCGAGACTGAAATCCCCTGAAGAAAGAAAGAAAGAAAAAAAAAAACCCGCCAAAATGACAGCTAAGACAGAGGCCAGACTAACCCCTGGCCCTCCCAAATTCCCTCTCGCTCCACCACAAGTGGGTTCACAAGAGACACAAACGCACCCAGGAAGACCTCCACTCCCTCAGACGCGGGGCGGGCCCTGCGACTTCACTCTGGGAGGGACATTTCCGCTCACCCAGCTCTGCGACCCTCGCTCCTGCCGAGTCAGCTTCTGCTGGCGAAGGGGGAAGGGCAAAAGGACAGTGCCTCCCAACCCGTCCCTCTTCAGCTGAGCCTGTCAGAGACAAGCCCAGCTCTGAAATCACGCCGCTGTGAAAAGGCAATTCGGTCCTCCGCCGCCTCTTCAGTTTAAAATCGTTTCCCGACTCGCTCTGCGGCTCCACGCAGGAAGCCTCCTTAGCGCCTCGCCGATTCCGTATCAGTGAAGCAACTAAAATTGCCATTTTAACTGAGGGCAAGGCCGAGCCACTTAACCGCTATCGTCAACCTTTCCAACCGTGCTCGGTTGCTCGTCCGTTTCCCTACTGGTGGGAAGCTTTCTCTCAAATTTCCGCCCGTCGTAAGCATGGCGGCGGCACCTCACTACTGATTCGTTGAATTCCTTCCCGGTAATCTTGGGCACTAGAGGGCGGAGTTGAAGCGTGCTTGGACCCAGACGGCGATCTGTGTTTGGGTTCGGACTCTGGGAGGATTTTGGCTTTGGTCGCCTTCCTCTTTCAGAAGACTCGAGATCGGCCAGCAGGTCTGCGAGATTTGAAACGCGACTGTTACTCCTTGTTTTCCGGTTCTGGCCGCGGGAGCCTCTCGGGAAGCGTGGAAAGAAGGGTAGGGCGTATGCCTAGTGACCGCCTCTGGTTGTCGGACTCGCGGCTGGCGCCGCTACGTGGAGTCGCTCTCTCTTCGTCACTTTTGGTTGCAGACTGGTTGAGTAGAAGTGCAGACTGATGCTTTAAGACTCGGGGAAAGGTCTTTCCTTTATCTCCACCCCATCAAGCACCCCAGAGACCTTGGAGATTTGTCTTGTTTCTAGACACGTGTACTCGAATGTTGTGCGGAGGACTTAAATATTCGAGAAGAAAGTGGGAACTCCTGGAATTTTAAGAGATTTCTGTGTATTTCCAAAGCTTTTAACTACCGGCAGCGTGGGATTCGTGATTGTTTTTCGCCATCGTGTGGCTCCAACATGTCCTTCCCTTCTTGGTTAAGTCACCTGTACAGGGGTTTATCCAGACCCATCCGAAGGACCACCCAACCTATCTGGGGTTCTCTCCACAGAAGTCTGGTGCAGAGTTCACAGAGGAGAAATCCAGGTGAAAATAGCGAAGAGATCTGTCCTGTGAACAGTACTTCAACCTGTTATCTACGACCAGAGAGCTTTTATTCCATATTTTCCCCCATTCTTAACTGGATAGCCGTATGTGTAGAAGCAGATCATTCACTCTTTTCATTCATTATAAGGCAGATTTTTTCCCCGAGTTTTTAGAAAGACCACAAAAAGGTAACCACGTAATATATAGAATACTCTGCTTTTGGTTGATACCTTAAAAAATCCTTTTTCGGCCGGGCGCAGTGGCTCACGCCTGTAATCCCAGCACTTTGGGAGGCCGAGGCGGGCGGATGATGAGGTCAGGAGATCGAGACCATCCTGGCTAACACAGTGAAACCCCGTCTCTACTAAAAATACAAAAAATTAGCTGGGCGTGGTGGCAGGGCCTGTAGTCCCAGCTACTGGGGAGGCAGAGGCAGGAGAATGGCGTGAACCCGGGAGGCGGAGCTTGCAGTGAACTGAGATCGCGCCACTGCACTCCAGCCTGGGCGACAAAGCGAGACTCCGTCTCAAAAAAAAGGAAAAAAAAAATCATTTTTCACAGAATATAATAGTGTTTTCTAGTGTACAAGTGGCTGTTAAACAGTAGATTCATATTAAAACTAAATAGTTCGTGCACCATCCATTTCTACAGTTTCTAAAATCCTATTTCATTTGGGGAAGAAATGTGCAGTATTAAGAATTGGGTGATTAGGATTTTAGGTAAATGCAAATACTAGAAGATCAAAAAAATTTTGATTTCCTAACACAAGACAGAAATTTACGGTTATTCACTTGGCTTTTGATACATTTGCAGGTAAATTTAATAGTGAATGACCTGTTTCCCTGACATACCTTAGATGTATTTTGAGAATTTTTATTGTTAAGCAACCTGCAAGTGATGTATTTTTAATCTTGCCTTTTAACGTTTCTTTTCTTTTTTTAAAAAAAAAAAAAACAGAATTCAGTAGCTTTGCTGTCCGGACCAACACATGTGGAGAGTTGCGTTCGTCTCACTTAGGTCAAGAAGTCACCTTGTGTGGATGGATTCAGTACCGAAGGTAAATTGAGGAAGACAGTCTAAGAATGCATGGTGGTGGTTTTCCCAGGGCAATTCTAAACCTTTACTAATTTACAACCAGTCCGAAGAATAAAACGTTTTGCAACTCCTGCAGGTTTAAGAATTTACTGAATTTTCAACTTTGTTTTGAAAGGCCCAAGTGTCATTCTCAGTAGGTACCAGTAACATCTGTTGAAGGGTATAACAATGAAGCTTGATCCACCAAATGGACTGAAATGATACTGGGCTTACTAAGACTGAAGAGTTCCTATGACCAGTAATTAAAAATGGGCCAGCCTCCTATAAACCAGCTGTTAAACTCCAATAGCATGGGGGAGAAAGCTCGTTTTATTTCCATTTAGGTAGAGAACAAGCCCAGAAACAGTGATTCTTTAAGATCAGAGCCCATTTTTTGTTCTTGTTCATCTCTCTATTCCAGAACATTCCTGAATAGTACATTAATTCACATGGAAGAGATCCAAAATACATAGGTTATATGACCTTCTTTTTTTTTTTTTTTTTTTTTTTTT